AGGTTGGCGCCTCGGTCGTTCGGAGGTCGTCCGTCCGGAGTCGTCCACGTCGTCGTCGCCGGCACCTCCACGTTCGACGATCTTGAGTCATGCTCGATATAGACGAATCCGCCCTGCTGATCGGTTTCCCTTTGATGATCACGGAGTCTCTCGTTTCGTCGTACGACATACCGGCGTCCGAGAAACGCCCGACGCCGTCCGGCCAGTCGAACACTTCGCCGAACGCGAGGTTCGAGTTGTCGTTGCGACTCGGCAGCAGCGTGACCCCGAGGACGCTCAGCGGGTGCGACGCGTACTCGCCCAATATAACCTTCCAGCTAGGTTTGCTCGCCATTTTGTAGGACATCGTCTCCGGAGTAACGTGCAAGGTAGGCAGCGGAGCGCTCCAATCGTCTCCTGGAGAAAACCGTTACAGTATCACCCATTTGCGTTCGGATACAAGCGCTTCGTATCTCGCATCCGTTCTCTTCGCTTTCTTGGACTCCTCCTTTCCTCGTTGCCAGCGATAGACTTTCGACGAAGATGGCATCTCCTCGGGACGAACGGAACGACGGGCGAAATACGCAAATAAGCAAAACCAAGTACGAATCGTTGCCGAACACCGCCTCCAAGTTCGGAGCGATTCGAGTGTACGGCGTCGGAAGTTACGGCGTGGTACAATCAATGAAGGACGACGTCAGGATCGTGGAGAAAAAAATCTTGGAGTTAGGTTCCGACCGAGATTATCTCAGCGGCAGCAAGGAAACGGCGATACTCGCACACCTGAAACGGATGGATCCCGAGAGGAAATTCACGCCCCGACTACTCGGCGCCACGTTCAAGAACAACGTCGTCGTATCCATAACGATGACGAACGAAGGATGCGATCGGCAAACGTTGAGATACGGTCACGGGATAATTCCGTGCGTCAGGACGCTGGCGCTGCACCTGTGCAAGGCTCTGACTTTCCTCGCCAAATCGGGCGTGATGCACAACGACATCACCCCGAAGAACGTGACGTACAGCAGGGTCGACAACCACTTCAGGCTCGTTGACTTCGGTTCCGCCGAGTTCTGCGACAGAGGTGCCAAGGAGCTGGGAATCCGGATACT